GGTTATTAAGTATGGTGAGTGTACTGACAGTCTATAATGTAGACTGTAGCCTGGTTATTAAACTGAGTGTACTGACAGTCTATAATGTAGACTGTAGCAATGGTTATTAAGTATGGTGAGTGTACTGACAGTCTATAATGTAGACTGTAGTAATGGTTATTAAGTATGGTGAGTGTACTGACAGTCTATAATGTAGACTGTAGTAGTGGTTATTAAGTATGGTGAGTGTACTGACAGTCTATAATGTAGACTGTAGTAATGGTTATTAAGCTGGGTGAGTGTACTGACAGTCTATAATGTAGACTGTAGCCTGGTTATTAAGTATGGTGAGTGTACTGACAGTCTATAATGTAGACTGTAGCAATGGTTATTAAGTATGGTGAGTGTACTGACAGTCTATAATGTAGACTGTAGCCTGGTTATTAAGCTGAGTGTACTGACAGTCTATAATGTAGACTGTAGCCTGGTTATTAAGCTGAGTGAGTGTACTGGCAGTCTATAATGTAGACTGTAGCCTGGTTATTAAGCCGAGTGTACTGACAGTCTATAATGTAGACTGTAGCCTGGTAATTAAGTGTGGTGAGTGTACTTACAGTCTATAATGTAGACTGTAGCCTGGTTATTAAGCTGAGTGAGTGTACTGACAGTCTATAATGTAGACTGTAGCCTGGTTATAAGCTGAGTGAGTGTACTGACAGTCTATAATGTAGACTGTAGCCTGGTTCTTAACCTCGGTGAGCGTACTGGCAATAGCTTAGCACGTGCATGAGTAGGTGAGTTGAGGGGTGGGTGGGTAGGTGGGTAGGTGAGTGGGTGGGTGGGTGAGTGGGTGGGTGAGTGGTTTTGTGCCTAGGTGAGTGGGTTAGTGGGTAGGTGAGTTGAGGCGTGGGTGGGTAGATGGGTAGGTGAGTGGGTGGGTGAGTGGGTGGGTGGGTGAGTGTTATTGGCTAGGTGATTGGGTTAGTGGGTAGGTGAATCGATACGTGAGTGGTTTAGTGCCTAGGTGAGTGGGTTAGTGGGTAGGTGCGTTAGTTTGTGGGTGAGTGGTTAAGTGAGTGGGTGGGAGAGTGTTTCGTGTGGCCATGGGGTGAGTTTGTTTCGTGAACAATGTGGCTGAGCCACATACCTATCGTGGGTGGGTGAGTGAGTGAATGGGTGAGTGAGTGGGTGAGTGAGTGGGTGAGTGAGTGAGTGGGTGAGTGAGTGGGTGAGTGAGTGAGGGGGTGGGTGAGTGGGTGAGTGAGTGAGTGGGTGAGTAAGTGAATGGGTAGGTGGGTGAGCGGGTGGGTGAGTGGGTGGGCGAGTGAGTGAGTGAGTGGGTGAGTGAGTGGGTGCGTGAGTGGGTGGGTGAGTGGGTGAGTGACTAGGTAGGTGGGTGAGTGAGTGGGTGAGTGGGTGGGTGAGTGGGTGGGTGAGTGAGTGGGTGAGTGAGTGACGGGGTGGGTGAGTGGGTGAGTGGGTGGGTGAGTGAGTGGGTGAGTGAGTGAATGGGTGAGTGAGTGGGTGAGTAAGTGAATGGGTAGGTGGGTGAGTGGGTGAGTGAGTGAGTGGGTGAGTGAATGAGTGGGTGAGTGGGTGGGTGAGTGAGTGGGTGAGTAAGTGAATAGGTAGGTGGGTGAGCGGGTGAGTGGGTGAGTGGGTGAGTGAGTGAAGGGGTGGGTGAGTGGGTGGGTGGGTGGGTGAGTGAGTGGGTGAGTGAGTGAGTGGGTGAGTGAGTGGGTAGGTGAGTGAGTGGGTGGGTGAGTGGGTGGGTGGATGAGTGGGTGAGTGAGTGAGTGGGTGAGTAAGTGAATAGGTAGGTGGGTGAGTGGGTGAGTGAGTGAGTGGGTGAGTGAATGAGGGGGTGGGTGGGTGAGTGGGTGAGTAAGTGGGTGAGTGAGGGAGTGAGTGAGTGAGTGAGGGGGTGGGTGAGTGGATGGGTGGGTGAGTGAATGGGTGAGTGGGTGAGTGGGTGAGTGAGTGAAGGGGTGGGTGAGTGGGTGGGTGGGTGAGTGGGTGCGTGAGTGGGTGAGTGAGGGAGTGAGTGAGTGAGGGGGTGGGTGAGTGGATGGGTGGGTGAGTGAATGGGTGAGTGGGTGGGTGGGTGAGTGGGTGGGTGAGTGGGTGGTTGAGTGCGCAAGTGGGTGGATGGGTGAGTGTGTGAATGAGGGGGTGAGTGGGTTGGTGAGTGAGTGGTAGGTTTGTGGGTGGGTGGATGAGTGGGTGCGTGGATCAGTGAGTGGGTGTGTTAATGAGTAAATCCACAGTGGATAAATTGGGAAATCACGGAGCAAGGGGTAAGAGGTCAAACTCCACACTTGTGGTGGCGTGACCTCTCACATGGATCGAGACAAAGCTCCCCCGTGTAGCTCACGCAGACTGCTGGGACAAGTGCGTAGGCCGTAGAGTGAGGAGCTGTACCCACCCACTCACACACTCACTCACCCACCCACTCATTAATTAAACCACACACTCACCCACTCACTTACTCACCCACTCACTCACTCACCCACTCACTCACCCACTCACTCACCCACACACTGGGTGAGTGAGTGAGTGTGTGGTTGAGTGGGTGGGTGAGAGAGTGAGTGGGTGAGTGAGTGTGTGGGTGAGTGCGTGAGTGTTTGGGTGGGTGAGTGTTTGGGTGAGTGTGTGAGTGTGTGAGTCTGTGGGTGAGTGAGTGTGTGGGTGTGTGTTTGGGTGAGTGTGTGGGTGAGTGGGTGAGTGTGTGGGTGAGTGAGAGTGTGGGTGAGTGTGTGGGTGAGTGAGTGTGTGGGTGAGTGAGTAAGCGAGTGAGTGGGTGAGTGAGTGGGTGGGTGAGTGGGTGAGTGAGTGTGTGGGTGAGTGTGTGGGTGAGGAGAGGCTTGTGGAGTCCCAATGCGGTTTCAGGAAAGGGCGGTCCTGCACAGATGCCATATTTTATGTCCGTCTGCTACAGCAGAGGTGTTGGGAATTCCAAAAAGACCTACATCTCTGCTTTATTGACCTGGTCAAGGCCTATGATATCATCAGTAGGCCTGGGCTCTGGGTTGTTCTTCGTGCTTTTGGAGTCCCTGACCCTCTGCTCACGATCATTAAGGACCTTCATGATGGTGAGCGGGCCCGGGTAAAACTACGTGGCCGGGAGTCAGAGCCATTCCCTGTACACCTTGGGGTGCGACAGGGATGTCCTCTGGCTCCCACATTATTTAACATCTATTTTGACCACGTAGTTCGTGAAGCCTTCAATAGCTGTACCGGGGGAATCTCCATTTGGTACAGATATAATGAGAGGCTGATCGATGCCCGGGCGCGGTCAAGGGATGGCTCCTTATTGCTCAGCCACGTTATGTATGCTGATGATTTGGTAAGAGCTGCTCATTCAGAGGAGGAGTTGGAGACGCTGCTGCTGAGACTGGAGCGTGCTACTAAGAGCTGGGGCCTTACCATCAGCCCCACCAAAACTAAGCACCTGCCTGGGTATTTTGTACCATCGGACACTCCACCCCCACAACTCCCAATCGGTGATGGGGCAGTTGTGGAGAGAGTGGAGAGTTTCCCATACCTGGGCAGTGTACTTATGACCGGCTCCAGTTTAACAGCAGAGGTCTCACTCCGAATCAGTCGAGCGGCAATATCTTTTCATCGGTTGCGTAACGCTGTGTGGAAGCTACCTGGTCTGTCGCTCCGCATTAAGCTTCAGGTCTTCTCGGCCACGGTCATTCCCTCCCTTCTCTACGCTTGCGAAACGTGGACCCCCTTATTGGAACATCTTCGCCGGTTTAGAAACATTTAGACTTGCCTGCCTACGATCCATCCTGGGTTTAACCAGGCTGGATTGTGTGAGCTCACAAATCCTTGAAAGATCTGGGCAAGGTCCCATCGGTGAGCTCCTCCGGCAGGCAAGGCTGCGATGGCTGGGTCATGTAGCCCGCATGCCCAGCCACCGCATGCCGAAACAGCTTTTGTTTGGCTGGATCGAGGGGGCTAAACGGGCGCGGCACGGGCTAGAGAAGAGATGGAGTGATGGGTGAGTGGGTGGGTGAGTGTGTGGGTGAGTGACACGGGCTAGAGAAGAGATGGAGTGATGTGGTACAGGAGGACGTGGAGCTGAGTGGACTTGCCGTTGACTGGTACCAGCGGTGTCAAGATCGGCCTCTGTGGAGGAGGCTCGTGAAGGATGCTACTGGGCAGTTGGAGGCAGTCGCCCTCCAACAACAACAGAGGGCGGAGGAGCGACGCTCAGAACGAGCGGAGCGCCGGGTGGCTAAAGCACAGCAGGTTGGCACAGTAGGGGGCACAGATGGTGCATCAGCCAATCATCTCAGTCAGTCGACCCGTGCCACCTGGGTCTGCCCCGTGACCTCCTGCCAGCGGGCGTTCGACACTTCACGTGGCCTCAGGGTGCACATAGCCTGGCACAAGCGTCGTGGTGACGTCACCGCCACTTAGTGGCGAATGGCGGTTGTTGAGTGTGTGGGTGAGTGAGTGGGTGGGTGAGTGAGTGGGTGAGTGAGTGGGTGAGTGGGTGGGTGAGTGAGTGAGTGGGTGAGTGAGTGGGTGAGTGAGTGTGTGGGTGAGTGTATGGGTGGGTGAGTGAGCGAGTGGGTGAGTGGGTGGGTGAGTGGGTGGGTGAGTGAGTGGGTGAGACTACTCACCACCTCCACTCACCACCTCCACTCGCCGCCACTCACCACCGTCACTCACCGCATTGTTTACTCACTGCCACCCCCACTCACCACGTGGTCGAGACTGGGGGAGGGGGCGTGGCCTGTAGACTGGACGGAGGAGGAGCCCCAACCAAGGTTAATGCTAAAGTGGGCCTGTCAGTCAAATGATTGTGGGCGTGGTCAAGGTTTTGGAGGGCGTGGCTGGTGACCAGAGGTGGTCAATAGCTGAGGGCGTGACTATTTTGAAGGGCGCGGCCAGTGAAACGTCGGAGGGGGCGTGGTCAATATTTGAGGGGCGTGGCTAGTGAGCAACGCTAGTCAATGGCGGGAGGGCGTGTCCTCAAAGTAAGGGGGCGTGGTCACTGCTAGGGGTTGGGGGGGGCGTGGTTACTTAGCGCATGCGCATAAGGGTCTCGGTTTCGGCAGGGCGAGAGAGGCAGAGCGGAAAGAGACCGACACGGTGAGGAGTGAGGTGAGTGAGGTGGTGAGTGTGGTGGTGAGTGAGGTGGTGAGTGAGGTGGTGAGTGAGGTGGTGAGTGTGGTGGTGAGTGTGGTGGTGAGTGAGGTGGTGAGTGTGGTGGTGAGTGAGGTGGTGAGTGAGGTGGTGAGTGAGGTGGTGAGTGTGGTGGTGAGTGTGGTGGTGAGTGAGGTGGTGAGTGAGGTGAGTGAGGTGGTGAGTGTGGTGGTGAGTGTGGTGGTGAGTGAGGTGGTGAGTGTGGTGAGGAGTGAGGTGAGGAGTGTGGTGGTGAGTGAGGTGGTGAGTGTGGTGAGGAGTGAGGTGGTGAGTGTGGTGGTGAGTGAGGTGGTGAGTGTGGTGGTGAGTGTCGTGAGTGAGGTGAGTGAGGTGGTGAGTGTGGTGGTGAGTGTGGTGGTGAGTGAGGTGGTGAGTGTGGTGAGGAGTGAGGTGAGGAGTGTGGTGGTGAGTGAGGTGGTGAGTGTGGTGAGGAGTGTGGTGAGGAGTGAGGTGAGGAGTGTGGTGGTGAGTGAGGTGGTGAGTGTGGTGGTGAGTGTCGTGAGTGAGGTGAGTGTGGTGAGGTGAGGAGTGAGGTGAGTGAGGTGGTGAGTGAGGTGGTGAGTGTGGTGGTGAGTGAGGTGGTGAGTGTGGTGGTGAGTGTCGTGAGTGAGGTGAGTGAGGTGAGTGTGGTGAGGACTGTGGTGAGTGAGGTGAGGAGTCAGGTGAGTGAGGTGAGTGAGGTGGTGAGTGAGGTGAGGAGTGAGGTGGTGAGTGTGGTGAGTGTGGTGAGTGAGGTGAGTGAGGTGAGTGAGGTGGTGAGTGAGGTGGTGAGTGAGGTGGTGAGTGTGGTGGTGAGTGTGGTGGTGAGTGAGGTGGTGAGTGAGGTGAGTGAGGTGAGTGAGGTGAGGAGTGTGGTGAGTGTGGTGAGGACTGTGGTGAGTGAGGTGAGGAGTGAGGTGAGGAGTGAGGTGAGGAGTGAGGTGAGGAGTGAGGTGAGGAGTGAGGTGAGGAGTGAGGTGAGGAGTGAGGTGAGGAGTGAGGTGAGGAGTGAGGTGAGGAGTGAGGTGAGTGTGGTGAGGAGTGTGGTGAGTGAGGTGAGGACTGTGGTGAGGAGTGAGGTGAGGAGTGAGGAGTGTGGTGAGTGAGGTGAGGAGTGAGGTGAGGAGTGAGGTGAGTGAGGTGAGGAGTGAGGTGAGGAGTGAGGTGAGTGAGGTGAAGAGTGAGGTGAGGAGTGTGGTGAGTGAGGTGAGGAGTGAGGTGAGGACTGTGGTGAGGAGTGAGGTGAGGAGTGTGGTGAGTGAGGTGAGGAGTGAGGTGAGGAGTGAGGTGAGGAGTGTGGTGAGGAGTGTGGTGAGGTGAATGTGGTGAGGTGGGTGAGTGAGGTGAGGAGTGAGGTGAGTGAGGTGAGGAGTGTGGTGAGTGTGGTGAGTGTGGTGAGTGAGGTGAGTGAGGTGAGGAGTGTGGTGAGTGTGGTGAGTGAGGTGAGTGAGGTGAGGAGTGTGGTGAGTGTGGTGAGTGAGGTGAGTGAGGTGAGGAGTGAGGTGAGGAGTGTGGTGGTGAGTGTGGTGAGTGTGGTGAGTGTGGTGGTGAGTGAGGTGAGTGTGGTGAGGAGTGTGGTGAGGAGTGTGGTGAGGAGTGTGGTGAGTGAGGTGAGTGTGGTGAGGAGTGTGGTGAGTGAGGTGAGTGAGGTGAGTGTGGTGAGTGAGGTGAGGAGTGAGGTGAGGAGTGTGGTGAGGAGTGAGGTGAGGAGTGTGGTGAGGTGATGACTTTGGTGAGTGAGGTGAGTGAGGTGATGACTGTGGTGAGTGAGGTGAGGAGTGTGGTGAGGAGTGAGGTGTGGTGAGGACTCGGGAAGAGAGAGAGACACGCACTGTACGCACAGACGCACTGTACACAGGGGGCATACATGCACTGTACACACTGTACACAGGGGCAGAGCGCACTGTACGTTAAGATAAAGAGACGCACTGTACACGGAAGGGGGCGAGCGAGACTCGCATGGACGGAGTTAAACTACACAGCTACACACCCACACAGCTACACACCTACACAGCTACACACCCACACAGCCACACAGCTACACACCTACACACCCACACAGCTACACACACAGCTACACACACAGCTACACACCCACACAGCTACACACCCACACAGCTACACACCCACACAGCCACACAGCTACACACCTACACACCCACACAGCTACACACACAGCTACACACCCACACAGCTACACACCCACACAGCTACACACCCACACAGCCACACAGCTACACACCTACACACCCACACAGCTACACACACAGCTACACACCTACACAGCTACACACCTACACACCCACGCAGCTACACACCCACACAGCTACACACCCACACAGCTACACACACAGCTACACACCCACACAGCTACACACCTACACAGCTACACAGCTACACACCCACACAGCTACACACCTACACAGCCACACAGCTACACACCGACACAGCTACACACCCACACAGCTACACATCCACACAGCTACACACACAGCTACACAGCTACACACCTACACACCCACACAGCTACACACCCACACAGCTACACACACAGTTACACACCCACACAGCTACACACCCACACAGCTACACAGCTACACACCCACACAGCTACACAGCTACACACCTACACACCCACACACCTACACAGCCACACACCCACACAGCTACACACCTACACAGCTACACACCCACACAGCCACACAGCTACACACCCACACAGCTACACACCCACACAGCTACACAGCCACACAGCTACACAGCTACACACCTACACAGCTACACACACACACACACAGCTACAGAGCCACACACCCACACAGCTACACACCTACACAGCCACACAGCTACACACCTACACAGCTACATACCCACACAGCTACACACCTACACACCCACACAGCTACACACACAGCTACACACCTACACAGCTACACACCTACACAGCTACATACCCACACAGCTACACACCTACACACCCACACAGCTACACACCCACACAGCTACACACCTACACAGCCACACAGCTACACACCCACACAGCTACACACACAGCTACACACCCACACAGCTACACAGCTACACACCCACACAGCTACACACCTACACAGCTACACAGCTACACACCTACACAGCTACACACCTACACACCTACACACCCACACAGCTACACACCCACACAGCTACACACCTACACAGCCACACAGCTACACACCCACACAGCTACACACACAGCTACACACCCACACAGCTACACAGCTACACACCCACACAGCTACACACCTACACAGCTACACAGCTACACACCTACACAGCTACACACCCACACAGCTACACACCCACACAGCTACACACCCACACAGCCACACACCCACACAGCCACACACCCACACAGCTACACACCCAAACAGCTACACACCCACACAGCTACACACCCACACAGCTACACAGCTACACACCCACACAGCTACACACACAGCTACACACCCACACAGCTACACAGCTACACACCTACACAGCCACACAGCTACACAGCTACACACCCACACAGCTACACAGCCACACAGCCACACACCTACACACCCACACAGCTACACACCTACACAGCTACACAGCCACACAGCTACACAGCTACACACCCACACACCTACACAGCCACACAGCTACACACCCACACAGCTACATAGCTACACACCCACACAGCTACATAGCTACACACCTACACAGCTACATAGCTACACACCTACACAGCTACACAGCTACACACACACACAGCTACACACCTACACACCTACACAGCCATACAGCTACACCCCCCTACACACCCACACAGCTATACACCCAAACAGCTACACACCTACACAGCCACACAGCTACACACCTACACAGCTACACAGCTACACACCTACACGGCTACACACCTACACACCCACACAGCTACACACCTACACACCTACACAGCCACACAGCTCACCTACACAGCCATACACCTACACAGCCACACACCTACACACCCACACAGCTACACAGCCACACAGCCACACAGCTACACACCTACACACCTACACACCCACACTGCTACACACCCACACAGCTACACACCTACACAGCCACACAGCTACACACCTACACACCTACACAGCTACACACCCACACCGTGCTGTAGTTGAACAGCGTTTCCGCCCTTCTCCCCCCCCCCTTCGTGTCTCCCCCCCCCCCCGTGTCTCCCCTCCCCCCCCCCCCCGTGTCTCCCCCCCCCGTGTCCCCCTCCCCGTGTCTCCCTCCCCGTGTCTCCCCCCCCGTGTCTCCCCCCCCCGTGTCTCCCTCCCCGTGTCTCCCTCCCCGTGTCTCCCTCCCCGTGTCTCCCTCCCCGTGTCTCCCCCCCCGTGTCTCCCCCCCCCGTGTCTCCCTCCCCGTGTCTCCCTCCCCGTGTCTCCCTCCCCGTGTCTCCCTCCCCGTGTCTCCCCCCCCGTGTCTCCCCCCCCCGTGTCTCCCTCCCCGTGTCTCCCTCCCCGTGTCTCCCTCCCCGTGTCTCCCTCCCCGTGTCTCCCCCCCCCGTGTCTCCCTCCCCGTGTCTCCCTCCCCGTGTCTCCCTCCCCGTGTCTCCCTCCCCGTGTCTCCCTCCCCGTGTCTCCCCCCCCGTGTCTCCCTCCCCGTGTCTCCCCCCCCCGTGTCTCCCCTCCCCCTCCCCGTGTCTCCCCCTCCCCGTGTCTCCCCTCCCCCTCCCCGTGTCTCCCTCTCCCCGTGTCTCCCCTCCCCCCCCCCCCGTGTCTCCCCCCCGTGTCCCCCTCCCCGTGTCCCCCTCCCCGTGTCTCCCCCCCCGTGTCTCCCTCCCCCTCCGAGTGTCTCCCTCTCCCCGTGTCTCCGCAGGCTGTTCCCCCCCACCCCCGCCCCGCCCCCCCCCCCCCCCACGTGTTCCGTCCGCGTCGTTCCGCCCGCGCCGCCCCATGAAGGAGGAGGAGGGGGAGGCTGTCGGCGAAGAGACGATGACATCACGCTGGAGGAAGCCGCTCTCCTCCCGCCAACTCAAGGCCCTTTCGGAGCACAGGTAACCCCCGGTAACGGCGGTCCCCATAGCAACGGCGGTCCCCATAGCGACGGTGCCCCGTAGCAACAATCACCCGTAGCGACACTCACCCGTAGCAACACTCACCCGTAGCAACAATCACCCGTAGCGACAATCACTCGTAGCGACACTCACCCGTAGCGACAATCACCCATAGTGACACTCACCCATAGCGACACTCACCCATAGCGACACTCACCCATAGCGACACTCACCCATAGCGACACTCACCCATAGCGACACTCACCCATAGTGACACTCACCCGTAGCGACACTCACCCATAGCGACACTCACCCATTGCGACACTCACCCATAGTGACACTCACCCATAGCGACACTCACCCATAGCGACACTCACCCATAGCGACACTCACCCATAGCGACACTCACCCATAGCGACGGTGCCCCGTAGCAACACTCACCCGTAGCAACAATCACCCGTAGCGACAATCACCCGTAGCAACAATCACCCATAGTGACACTCACCCGTAGCGACACTCACCCATAGCGACACTCACCCATAGCGACACTCACCCATAGCGACACTCACCCATTGCGACACTCACCCATAGCGACACTCACCCATAGCGACACTCACCCATAGCGACACTCACCCATAGCGACACTCACCCGTAGCGACACTCACCCATAGCGACACTCACCCATAGTGACACTCACCCATAGCGACACTCACCCATAGTGACACTCACCCATAGCGACACTCACCCATAGCGACACTCACCCGTAGCGACACTCACCCGTAGCGACACTCACCAGTAGCGACACTCACCTGTAGTGATGCTCACCCATAGCGACACTCACCCATAGCGACACTCACCAGTAGCGACACTCACCCATAGCGACACTCACCCATAGCGACACTCACCCATAGCAACACTCACCCATAGCGACACTCACCCATAGCGACACTCACCCGTAGCGACACTCACCCATAGCGACACTCACCCGTAGTGACACTCACCCGTAGCAACAATCACCCATAGCGACACTCACCCGTAGCAACAATCACCCGTAGCGACACTCACCCATAGTGACACTCACCCATAGCGACACTCACCCATAGCGACACTCACCCATAGCGACACTCACCCGTAGCGACAATCACCCGTAGCGACACTCACCCGTAGCGACACTCACCCGTAGCGACAATCACCCATAGTGACACTCACCCGTAGCGACACTCGCCCATAGCGACACTCACCCATAGCGACACTCACCCATAGCGACACTCACCCATAGCGACACTCACCCATAGCGACACTCACCCGTAGCGACACTCACCCATAGCAACACTCACCCATAGCGACACTCACCCGTAGCGACACTCACCCGTAGCAACAATCACCCGTAGCAACAATCACTCGTAGCGACACTCACCCATAGCGACACTCACCCATAGCGACACTCACCCGTAGCGACACTCACCCATAGCGACACTCACCCATAGCGACACTCACCCATAGTGACACTCACCCATAGTGACACTCACCTGTAGCAACACTCACCCATAGCGACACTCACCCATAGCGACACTCACCCATAGCAACACTCACCCGTAGCGACACTCACCAGTAGCGACACTCACCCGTAGCGATACTCACCCATAGCGACACTCACCCATAGGGACACTCACCCATAGCGACACTCACCCATAGCGACACTCACCCATAGCGACACTCACCCATAGCGACACTCACCCATAGTGACACTCACCCATAGCCACACTCACCCATAGCGACACTCACCCATAGCGACACTCACCCATAGCGACACTCACCCATAGTGACACTCACCCGTAGCGACACTCACCAGTAGCGACACTCACCCGTAGTGACACTCACCCATAGTGACACTCACCCATAGCGACACTCACCCGTAGCGACACTCACCCATAGCGACACTCACCCATAGCGACACTCACCCATAGCGACACTCACCCATAGCGACACTCACCTGTAGCGACACTCACCCATAGTGACACTCACCCATAGCGACACTCACCCATAGCGACACTCACCCATAGCGACAATCACCCGTAGCTACACTCACTCGTAGCGACACTCACCCATAGCGACACTCACCCATAGCGACACTCACCCATAGTGACACTCACCCATAGCGACACTCACCCATAGCGACACTCACCCATAGCGACACTCACCCATAGTGACACTCACCCATAGCGACACTCACCCATAGCGACACTCACCAGTAGCGACACTCACCCATAGCGACACTCACCCATAGCGACACTCACCCATAGCGACACTCACCCATAGCAACACTCACCCGTAGCAACAATCACCCGTAGCGACACTCACCCGTAGCGACACTCACCCATAGCGACACTCACCCATAGCGACACTCACCCATAGCGACACTCACCCATAGTGACACTCACCCATAGCGACACTCACCCATAGTGACACTCACCCATAGCGACACCCATAGCGACACTCACCCATAGCAACACTCACCCATAGCGACACTCACCCATAGTGACACTCACCCATAGCGACACTCACCCATAGCGACACTCACCCGTAGCGACACTCACCCGTAGCGACACTCACCCGTAGCGACACTCACCCATAGCGACACTCACCCATAGCGACACTCACCCATAGCGACACTCACCCATAGTGACACTCACCCATAGCGACACTCACCCATAGTGACACTCACCCATAGCGACACCCATAGCGACACTCACCCATAGCAACACTCACCCATAGCGACACTCACCCATAGCGACACTCACCCATAGCGACACTCACCCATAGCGACACTCACCCATAGCGACACTCACCCATAGCGACACTCACCCATAGCGACACTCACCTGTAGCGACACTCACCCATAGCGACACTCACCTGTAGTGATGCTCACCCATAGCGACACTCACCAGTAGCGACACTCACCCATAGCAACACTCACCCATAGCGACACTCACCCATAGTGACACTCACCCATAGCAACACTCACCCATAGCGACACTCACCCATAGCGACACTCACCCATAGCGACACTCACCTGTAGCGACACTCACCTGTAGTGATGCTCACCCATAGCGACACTCACCAGTAGCGACACTCACCCATAGCGACACTCACCCGTAGCGACACTCACCCATAGCGACACTCACCCATAGCGACACTCACCCATAGCGACACTCACCTGCAGCGACACTCACCCATAGTGACACTCACCCATAGCGACACTCACCCATAGCGACACTCACCCATAGCGACAATCACCCGTAGCAACACTCACTCGTAGCGACACTCACCCATAGCGACACTCACCCATAGTGACACTCACCCATAGCGACACTCACCCATAGCGACACTCACCCATAGCGACACTCACCCATAGCGACACTCACCCATAGCGACACTCACCTGTAGCGACACTCACCCATAGCGACACTCACCTGTAGTGATGCTCACCCATAGCGACACTCACCAGTAGCGACACTCACCCATAGCAACACTCACCCATAGCGACACTCACCCATAGCGACACTCACCCATAGCAACACTCACCCATAGCGACAATCACCCATAGCGACACTCACCCATAGCGACACTCACCTGTAGCGACACTCACCTGTAGTGATGCTCACCCATAGCGACACTCACCAGTAGCGACACTCACCCATAGCGACACTCACCCGTAGCGACACTCACCCATAGCGACACTCACCCATAGCGACACTCACCCATAGCGACACTCACCTGCAGCGACACTCACCCATAGTGACACTCACCCATAGCGACACTCACCCATAGCGACACTCACCCATAGCGACAATCACCCGTAGCAACACTCACTCGTAGCGACACTCACCCATAGCGACACTCACCCATAGCGACACTCACCCATAGTGACACTCACCCATAGCGACACTCACCCATAGCGACACTCACCCATAGCGACACTCACCCATAGCGACACTCACCCATAGTGACACTCACCCATAGCGACACTCACCCATAGCGACACTCACCAGTAGCGACACTCACCCATAGCGACACTCACCCATAGCGACACTCACCCATAGCGACACTCACCCATAGCAACACTCACCCGTAGCAACAATCACCCGTAGCGACACTCACCCGTAGCGACACTCACCCATAGCGACACTCACCCATAGCGACACTCACCCATAGCGACACTCACCCATAGTGACACTCACCCATAGCGACACTCACCCATAGTGACACTCACCCATAGCGACACCCATAGCGACACTCACCCATAGCAACACTCACCCATAGCGACACTCACCCATAGTGACACTCACCCATAGCGACACTCACCCATAGCGACACTCACCCGTAGCAACAATCACCCGTAGCGACACTCACCCGTAGCGACACTCACCCATAGCGACACTCACCCATAGCGACACTCACCCATAGCGACACTCACCCATAGTGACACTCACCCATAGCGACACTCACCCATAGTGACACTCACCCATAGCGACACCCATAGCGACACTCACCCATAGCAACACTCACCCATAGCGACACTCACCCATAGTGACACTCACCCATAGCGACACTCACCCATAGCGACACTCACCCATAGCGACACTCACCCATAGCGACACTCACCCATAGCGACACTCACCTGTAGCGACACTCACCCATAGCGACACTCACCTGTAGTGATGCTCACCCATAGCGACACTCACCAGTAGCGACACTCACCCATAGCAACACTCACCCATAGCGACACTCACCCATAGCAACACTCACCCATAGCGACACTCACCCATAGCGACACTCACCCATAGCGACACTCACCCATAGCGACACTCACCTGTAGCGACACTCACCTGTAGTGATGCTCACCCATAGCGACACTCACCAGTAGCGACACTCACCCATAGCGACACTCACCCGTAGCGACACTCACCCGTAGCGACACTCACCCATAGCGACACTCACCCATAGCGACGGTGTCCCATAGCGACGATGATGATGGTCACATTGATAATGTTGATGTTGATGAGGATTCTGTTGATGATGGTGATGTTGTTGTAGGTACTCTGTAGATGTTGATGGTGATGATGATGGTGATGATGGTGTTGTTGTAGGTACTCTGTAGATGTTGATGGTGATGATGGTGATGGTGGTGTTGTTGTAGGTACTCTGTAGATGTTGATGGTGGTGTTGGTGATGATGGTGGTGATAGTGATGGTGGTGATGGTGGTGATGGTGATGTTGTTGTCGGTACTCTGTAGATGTTGATGGTGGTGATGTTGTTGTTGTTGTAGGTACTCTGTAGATGTTGATGATGGTGATGATGGTGATGGTGTTGGTGATGTTGTAGGTACTCTGTAGATGGTGATGGTCGTGATGGCGATGTTGTTGTAGGTACTCTGTAGATGATGATGGTGATGATGGTGTTGTTGTAGGTACTCTGTAGATGTTGATGATGATGTTGTTGTTGTAGGTACTGTGTAGATGTTGATGGTGGTGATGGTGGTGTTGTTGTAGGTACTCTGTAGATGTTGATGATGATGTTGTTGTTGTAGGTACTCTGTAGATGTTGATGGTGGTGATGGTGGTGTTGTTGTAGGTACTCTGTAGATGGTGATGGTGATGTTGTTGTTGTTGTAGGTACCCTGTAGATGTTGATGGTGGTGATGGTGGTGTTGTTGTAGGTACTCTGTAGATGTTGATGGTGGTGATGGTGATGTTGTTGTCAGTACTCTGTAGATGTTGATGGTGATGATGGTGGTGTTGTTGTAGGTACTCTGGAGATGTTGATGGTGATGATGGTGATGATGTTGTTGTTGTAGGTACTTTGTAGATGTTGATGATGGTGATGGTAATGTTGTAGGTACTCTGTAGATGTTGATGGTGATGATGGTGATGTTGTTGTTGTAGGTACTCTGTAGATGTTGGTGATCGTGGTGGTGTTGTAGGTACTCTGTTGATGGTGATGATGGTGATGGTGTTGTTGTTGTCAGTACTCTGTAGATGTTGATGGTGATGATGTTGATGTTGTTGTTGTAGGTACTCTGTAGATGTTGATGTTGGTGATGATGTTGTAGGTACTCTGTAGATGTTGATGGTGATGATGTTGATGGTGATGATGGTGTTGTTGTTGTAGGTACTCTGTAGATTTTGGTGATGGTGATGTTGTTGTTGTAGGTACTCTGTAGATGTTGATGATGGTGATGATGGTGATGGTGATGTTGTTGTTGTAGGTACTCTGTAGATGTTGATGGTGATGATGGTGATGGTGTTGTAGGTACTCTGTAGATGTTGATGGTGATGATGATGGTGATGATGGTGATGTTGTTGTTGGTACTCTGTAGATGTTGATGGTGGTGATGGTGATGTTGTTGTAGGTACTCTGTAGATGATGATGGTGATGATGTTGTTGTTGGTGCTCTGTAGATGATGATGGTGATGATGTTGTTGTTGTAGGTACTCTGTAGATGTTGATGTTGATGGTGATGATGTTGTTGTTGTAGGTACTCTGTAGATTTTGGTGATGGTGATGATGTTGTTGTTGTAGGTACTCTGTAGATGTTGATGGTGATGATGTTGTTGTTGTAGGTACTCTGTAGATTTTGGTGATGGTGATGTTGTTGTTGTAGGTACTCTGTAGATGTTGATGGTGATGATGGTGATGTTGTTGTAGGTACTCTGTAGATTTTGGTGATGGTGATGTTGTTGTTGTAGGTACTCTGTAGATGTTGATGGTGATGATGTTGTTGTTGTAGGTACTCTGTAGATTTTGGTGATGGTGATGTTGTTGTTGTAGGTACTCTGTAGATGTTGATGGTGATGATGTTGTTGTTGTAGGTACTCTGTAGATGTTGATGGTGATGATGGTGTTGTTGTAGGTACTCTGTAGGTGATGATGGTGATGGTGTTGTTGTAGGTACTCTGTAGATGTTGATGGTGATGATGGTGGTGTTGTTGTAGGTACTCTGTAGATTTTGGTGATGGTGATGATGGTGATGATGTTGTTGTTGTAGGTACTCTGTAGATGTTGATGATGGTGTTGTTGTTGTAGGTACTCTGTAGATGGTGGTGATGGTTGTGATGTTGTAGGTACTCTGTAGATGTTGATGGTGGTGATGGTGATGTTGTTGTTGTTGTAGGTACTCTGTAGATGTTGATGGTGGTGATGTTGTTGTTGGTACTCTGTAGATGGTGGTGATGGTGATGTTGTTGTTGTAGGTACTCTGTAGATGGTGATGGTGGTGATGGTGATGTTGTTGTCGGTACTCTGTAGATGTTGATGGTGATGATGTTGTTGTAGGTACTCTGTAGATGTTGATGGTGATGATGGTGTTGTTGTTGTTGTAGGTACTCTGTAGATGTTGATGGTGATGATGGTGATGTTGGTGATGATGTTGTAGGTACTCTGTAGATGTTGATGGTGGTGATGGTGATGTTGTTGTTGTTGTAGGTACTCTGTAGATGTTGATGGTGGTGATGTTGTTGTTGGTACTCTGTAGATGGTGGTGATGGTGATGTTGTTGTTGTTGGTACTCTGTAGATGATGATGGTGATGATGTTGTTGTTGTTGTAGGTACTCTGTAGATTTTGGTGATGGTGATGTTGTTGTTGTAGGTACTCTGTAGATGATGATGGTGATGATGTTGTTGTTGTTGTAGGTACTCTGTAGATTTTGGTGATGGTGATGTTGTTGTTGTAGGTACTCTGTAGATGGTGATGGTGGTGATGGTGATGTTGTTGTCGGTACTCTGTAGATGTTGATGGTGATGATGTTGTTGTTGTTGTAGGTACTCTGTAGATGTTGATGGTGATGATGGTGTTGTTGTTGTTGTTGTAGGTACTCTGTAGATGTTGATGGTGATGATGGTGATGTTGGTGATGATGTTGTAGGTACTCTGTAGATGTTGATGGTGGTGATGGTGATGTTGTTGTTGTAGGTACTCTGTAGATGTTGATGGTGGTGATGTTGTTGTTGGTACTCTGTAGATGGTGGTGATGGTGATGTTGTTGTTGTTGGTACTCTGTAGATGATGATGGTGATGATGTTGTTGTTGTTGTAGGTACTCTGTAGATTTTGGTGATGGTGATGTTGTTGTTGTAGGTACTCTGTAGATGGTGATGGTGGTGATGGTGATGTTGTTGTTGTAGGTACTCTGTAGATGTTGATGGTGATGATGGTGTTGTTGTTGTTGTAGGTACTCTGTAGATGTTGATGGTGATGATGGTGTTGTTGTTGTTGTAGGTACTCTGTAGATGTTGATGGTGGTGATGGTGATGTTGTTGTTGTTGTAGGTACTCTGTAGATGTTGATGATGGTGATGGTGATGATGGTGATGATGTTGTAGGTACCCTGTAGATGTTGATGATGGTGATGTTGTTGTTGTACGTACTCTGTAGATGTTGATGGTGATGATGGTGTTGTTGTTGTAGGTACTCTGTAGATGTTGATGGTGGTGATGGTGATGTTGTTGTTGTTGTAGGTACTCTGTAGATGTTGATGGTGGTGATGGTGATGTTGTTGTTGTTGTAGGTACTCTGTAGATGTTGATGGTGATGATGTTGATGGTGATGTTGTTGTTGTAGGTACTCTGTAGAGGGATCCTCCCTACTGGAACCACCGCTGCAAATCTTCTGGACCTGGTTGGTGGAGTTGGTGCCACTGTGGATGGCTCCCAACACCATCACCATCACGGGCCTTGCCATCAACGCCATCACCACCATCACGCTGGTGGCTCACAGCCCCGAGGCTCGCACTGTGGTGAAAATCACCGGCATCACCATCGCTGGCACCGCCACCATCATCACCACCACCATCATCATCATCACCATCATCATCACCATCACGTACCACCATCACCACCACCTCATCACCATCACCATCACCACCATCATCACCACCATCATCATCATCACCATCATCATCATTCTCACCATCATCGCCATCATCATCATCACCATCATCAACACCACCACCACCGGCATCACTACCACTATCATCATCACCATCACCACCACCACTATCATCATCCTCATTCTCACCATCATCATCATCCTCATTCTCACCATCATCATCATCATCCTCATTCTCACCATCATCATCATTCTCACCACCACCATCATCATTCTCACCACCACCATCATCATTCTGACCACCACCACCACCATCATCATCATTCTCACCACCACCATCATCATCATTCTCACCACCACCATCATCATCATTCTCACCAC